AAGGCCAACACATTCGAGTGGGACCGGGAGTGTGAGGAAGCTTTCCAGCAGCTGAAGGAGTACTTAGTCTCTGATATTGTTTTGTCGAAACCCAAACCGGGTGAGACTTTGTATTTGTACCTAGGCATTTCCCAAAACGCTGTAAGCTCTGTTTTGATAAGAAATGAAGACGGCCAGAGGCCTATTTACTATGTGAGCAAAGCATTAAATGGGGCTGAAAGCCGGTACACTGCCATTGAGAAAACGGCATACGCGCTTTTCATCATGGCCAAAAAACTGACCGCATACTTCCAAGCTCACACCGTGGAAGTACTGACCGATCAGCCACTTGGACCGGTCCTTCGAAATTCGACCGCCTCGGGAAGGTTGATCAAGTGGGCGATGATGCTCACCCAGTTCAAAATAGAATATAAACCAAGGACTGCAGTTAAGGGTCAAGCTTTGGCAGACTTCCTCGTTGAACTGACCGGTCTAGAGCCCGAAGCCGGACCCTCCCATACGGTCGAACCGTGGTGGGACATGGCCGTTGATTGAGCCTCTGGACCGAAGGGATGCGGGGCCGGCGTAGTCTTCACTACCCCGGAAGGATTCAAGATCTACCATGCCTTGATCTTCAACTTCAAACTCACCAACAATGAGGCGGAGTATGAGGCGTTGGCCGGTGGCCTCAGATTAGCCCGGACACTCGGAATAAAAAGCATGAAGATCCGTTCCGATTCGAGTCTAGTGGTTGGACAGGTCAATGGTGAGATGGAAGCAAAAGAGGATCGGCTGGCCCGGTATAGTGATCTGGTCCGAGCGCTTCTAAGGGAATTAGAAGAGTTTCGTCTGACTAGGATACCCCGTTCGGAAAACGCTGATGCAGATATGCTTTCAAAATTGACACAAGCCTACCCGGAGCATGTGTCGAAGTTGGCGAAAATTGAGATCACGGACGTGCCGAGTACAGACCGGTTTGAAATCGCGGCTATCCAACCGGGCCAGAATTCGGCTACCGGGACAATCGGAGCAGATGATGACTGGAGGCACGATCTCATGCAATATTTGGAGACCGGTCAGAAACCGGATGACGAGGAACGGGCCAGGAAGGTGGTCCTGCGGGCTCCCCGTTTTCAGGTAATCGATGGTCACTTGTACAAACGTGCCATCGGTGGACCTCTCT